AGGATTGCTTGAGGCCAGAGGTTTGAGACCAGCTTGGGCAACACAGCCCAAGAACCTCATGTCTACTAGTTTTTTGTTTTTGTTTTTGTTTTTTAATTAGGCAGGCATGGTGGTACAAGTCCTAGCTACTCAGGAAGCTGAGAGGGGAGGACTGCTTGAGCCCAGGAGTTCAAGGCTGCAGTACCACCACAGCCTAGTCAACAGAGTGAGAATCTGTCTCTAATTTATACAAAGAAAAAAAGAGATTTCATAAACAGAAGAGTTTACGTTTTCAGCTGAAAAGTGCTTTATTTCTTCTTCCCAGTGGCTATACTCAGGAACCACGTCTTGAGTCTGGCCAGTTGAGCCCCTATGGCTTAAGCTGGCATCGGTGGACAGTACTAGAAATATAGAGCTACCATTTCTAAAATTGATTCTAATTTGTACTTAAGCATTGCGAGCACCCCATTTATCAGTAGAGCACTGTCTGTGGGACTGAGCAGGCAATGAAATTTTCAGAAAGATGGCTGCAAACTGATGTTCAACTTGAACTGAGATGGGGAGAAAAGAGTGAATTCTGTAATGTATTGTTCGTGTTAATTCTGTAATGCATTGTCATTTAGTAATGGGGGCACCTGAACATATAGCATAATTCCCCCCCACCCCACAAGTCAGGCTATGGGTATCAAGATGACTTTCTGATATTTGGGAATCTTTTCCCACCCCCAACGCTTGTGTTAAAATAGGGGCAGGCAGAATACGACCGAAGGTGAAATCCATTCTACTCTCTATTTTTGTATGGCCCCTGAGCTAAGAATGGTTTTTACATTCAATCCCTACTTAAGTGAAATGTTATTCCCCTAAAAAGGAATCGTATTATTCTCATTAGGTAGACAAATATTTTGAAAATTGTTCTCAGTTATTAATCGCATTTCAAATACAGTTAATAAGGTTGTGAAAGTTTGCTTATTATTTGAGTACCTACATAACATCTTCAAATTCACCTCTTGGCCTGCAAAACCTAAAATATTTACTCTTTAGTACTTTACTGAAAACTGTTGCTCATTCCTAGCTTAAAACTCAAAGTGAGCCAGCCTGTACCTCTGCTGGGCTTGTGCTCAGCCACATGCCTGCCTTGTTAAATCTGGGCTTACAGTGTGCCAGGAGCTATGCCAAGCCCCTTTTGTCTGTTAACTTGCTTAATTGTCACAGCAACCCTGAGAGTAAATATTCTCATTATTCCCATTTTACAGATGATGGAAGTAGCTCAGAGAGGTTAAGGCCTTTGCCTGAGGTCACACAGCCATCAAATGTCAGTTAATTCAAAGCCCATGCTAGACTGCTCATGCTGATGGACAATGTATCTAACATGGTATGCCTTTAAGGGCACAAGCAGTAATCCAGTTTAAAAAAAAAATAGATATGCACAAAGCATTAAAGAAAGTAAATGATAAAACATCGGTAGCTTAGAGGACTAATAATAGTAAAAGTAATAACAATTAGAGTAAGAATAATACGTATCACGTATGCAATGTTTACTGTGTTCCGAGCTCTTTCTGAACCCCTTTCTTATATTGACTTATTTATAATCTTCACTACTATAGCCTAAGAAGGTTTCATAACTTGCCTGAGCTCACACAGCTGACAGCGGAGTTGGGATTTGAACCTGGGCGGGCTGAAAATCTGCTCTCCTCAGCCACCCTTGAAGAAATGCACAAGTGCTGGGGGTGCTGATGCAGGCAGTGGTTAGATCTCAGTTTTCAGCACTGAGTGATGTTTCCTGCTCTCCAGGCATACTGTTTCAGATTCCCTGAATAAAGAATCCCGTGTGAGGAGGCGGAGCTTGCAGTGAGCTGAGATCCGGCCACTGCGCTCCAGCCCCGGCGACAGAGCGAGACTCCGTCTCAAAAAAAAAAAAAAAAAAAAAAAAAAGAATCCCGTGTGAGTCTCTGTATTCTTCACGTTTTTGACCTTGTGTCTGTTACTTCACCCTGGTCTTCTATTTACCCAGCCCTAAAGTCAAAGAATTGGACTAAATAGATGGTTTTCCAAGTGTCCCTGGGTCCCCTACTCAGCTTCAGCCACCAGGGCTGACTTAACTATTTGAGTTGCTGGGCTCTTGGGTAAGATTTTGTTTGAAGAGACCATTCTTTGGCCTCCAAAGCCACTGAACTAAGCCGCTGAACTGTCCAAGTCCCTTCCAGATCACACAGTCCTAAGATTCAATGGCAGCAATAGTGGTGGAATGAATAAGCAGTGAAGCCAGGCCCTCCTCCCGGTCCCTTGTACCAAGTCTACCCACCTCGCCACCGATCTGACTGCACCTGCTGATCAACGAAAGCCAGAACTTGCCTCTGAAGCCCTGGTGTTGGTCAAGAACAGAGAGGCCCTTTGGAGTTTGCAGCAGGGGTCACACGCACTTTCCATCATGCCTGCTTAATCCATCATCAGCCCATCGGAGAACTTACACAAGAGCCCGGCCCTGTCCAGTGTTCCCCCTTTGAAATCTAATCTCCTCCTGTTGGTGTGGCAGGTGCTTTTGCTTTATCTTTTGATGCTCTTTAAAGCCGTGGCCTCTCCCTAGAGTGTGTTTAGATGGGGACTTGGCTGCCAGGGGTTTGCCAGGGTTGTCTCGTCACTTCCTATCAGCATTCCGCATGCTTAACTGCAACCCTAATGTTGGATTGGGCCCCGAGGGGAAAACTCTTCTGATTCTCTAGCCATTCGGCCTGGATTCCTTGATCCTAAGGCAGGTTAGTGTGCTGTGGTGTGACCCCAGGTTCACCTACAACATGAGGGAGACATGAAGGTGGCAGTTTTGCAGTTGGTGGTGCCAAGCCCTACCCACCCTTCTATCACTTGGGGCTTTGTGTTGACTGTTTACACAGCCCAGGAAGCTCAGAGGCAGCAAGCAAAGGCCAAAATATTTTCTCCTCCTGGCCAAACCAGTCCTCGCCAAGCATGCTTGCAGAGATTTCCCCTGTCATTAGGCTGCTGGTAACCAGGTTTAAATTAAAGCCCAGATTTGCCAGTGGGCGGAGGGGCAATTCCGTTATTTCTAGCCTTTTGTACAACAGAAATTGTTTTTGTAATTTTGATTATAGAACCCTATGATTTGAAGAGTTTTGCATTTATTGGTTAATACTAAATTTTTCTTTTAGAAAAAAACGAATTGAACACCTCTCTGAGAATCAGCCAAGGTTTCTGAGCCTCATGAATAACTGCTGTTACTTCGCTGTTCACTAGTGCTTGGGCTTGGTTATTTAACCTCTCTGTGCCTTGATTTCCACACCTGTAAAACGAGTATTAGAAAGCACATACTTCATAGAGTTGTGAACTAAGAGAGCATAGTGATGTGAGTAATAAAATCCTGGATTCTAAACCCAGCTACCTGTTTCTGCATCCCGCCTCTGCAAACTGGGGATGATAATAGGACTAACTTCTTGGAGTTATTTTAAGCATTAAATAAATGTATCCTTATAAAGCTGTTAGAACAGGGCCTGTTGCATATAGTAAGTGCTGTTTAAGTGTTTGCAACATGTAAATACTCAGAATAGTGCCTGGCATATAGGCGAAGCTAAATCAATATTAAGTCTTCTTCAACTAATCTTTTCCAAAAGGAAATTGCAATTTTAATTATAATATAGTTGATTTCTGTTGGGTTTTTGCATTATGCCCTAGTTACACAGACTTCTCGCGTCTGGGGATGCACAGTTGCCCAAAAGCCTGCACTAGTTGTTCTGCATAAAAATGAGAAGAGGAAGGAAGGAGGGGAGAGGTATGAGGCTTGGGAATAATATTCCTGTAGGCACAGGTGTGTCTATGAGGTCACCTGGAACCCCGTTCCCAGGGCCCATGGTGGAAGCCATGAAGGAGCTAAGGGACCTCATGAGCAGAACTCCAGTAGTCTTATTGCATCTCTAACAGGGAAGAGGAGAGAATCCCAGATGTAAATTCAAGACTAGATGTCTGGAGATGGATGTAGAGACTAGAACCTTCTCTGACTCATGAAAGAAGCTAGATAGTTTCCTGGGTGTGCTTGGGAGAATTACAAGACATTTTCCTCATCTTCTCTGCGACACTGTTCCTTCCTGTCCCGGAGCCTTTGCTCATGCTGTTTCTACTGCTTACAATGGTTTTCTTCACCTTGTTTGCCCCCACCCTTGCATTTTCACATAGCTAACCTCAGTGGCTTCTTCCGCTGAGTCAGAGGTGTGTGGTGTCTCTGGTGTCAAGACATCTGGATTCACATCCTGGCTTTGCTTCTTAGGAGCTATGTGACCTTGAGCAGACACTAACCCATTACATGCCTTGCTTTCCTCATAGATTAATCATATTTTCATTGTTGGATCTGAACTTAAATGTCATTTCTTCTGTTTAAGGGAAGACACCTCCATGTTTGTAAAAAGAATGCTGGTTCCTGGGGCCATTCTTTTTAAGTTTCTAGTTGTGCCTTGGTTAGACTTCACTTTGATTTGGAGACGACTTGGGTGAAACCATAATGAAATGTAGCCAGCTTTGGAATTGCACATTACTGGTGGCTTACAGTTTTCTTTTCATAATGAGTCTCTCTATGTGTCCCAAAGTTTGTTGCACTGATTATCTCTCTTTTCATAGATAATTGGAGAAGAGTTCTATGATGAAACAAGGTTGGGAAGGGGTGGGTTAAACAAAGTCAAGCCCATTTCTTTTCTGCAAGACTTCTCAGAGATTTTAGTATGCTAGAGTGTTTTGTCTATTTCCTGGGGAAGGGGGAGGGACTTTAATGTGGCCCAACCGTGTTCATCATGGAACCTGTTTTTTACTGAAATATACTGTGGTGCTGGTGTCCTCAGAACATACCCTGGGAAATGCTGCTTTGTTTACTGAGGCTCTCCCACCACCAAATGCTAGTGCTTCTAAGGATATAAACAAACATAAGGCTTGTGATGTGGCACCAGCATGCCGAGGGTGTTGACTGTCTGCGGCGCGGAATGGCATGACTTACCATTGTGCTTTTCTTTTCCCTTTTCCCCTAACAGAGAAGGAGACCTTTCTGGATCCTTTCGTCCTCCGGGACCTCCTGCCTGCATCCCTGGGCAGCTATTATCGGTACACAGGTTCCTTGACCACACCACCGTGTAGCGAAATAGTGGAGTGGATAGTCTTCCGGAGACCCGTCCCCATCTCTTACCATCAGGTAGATATTCTGCCTCAAGTGGGGCTTCTGTGTTTACTTGTTTTGTATTGACTTAACAGTCCAGCATGGCTAGAGTATACCAGTAACGAATTTGTTCTTGATCTTGTGCACGTCATTGATTCCTGCAGTCTTTCCCACAAACATGTTTCTGAACCCAAGAACTGCAAGCTATGGAACGTGGTTTCTTAGCCACAAATGAAATTAACTCACTAAAGAGAATTGCAGGCAGGAAATCTGAGTATTGTTTAAGTATTCAATCTTGAGGAGGTAATAATAGCTATCCTCGATGATGATGACCTTTTGTGCCAGAAACTCTTCTAAGCTCTTTATAAATGTTGACCCATTTCATCTTCATGAACAGCACACTCATGAGGTAGATGCTATTGGTACCCCCATTCTGCAGTCTTAACGAGGAATGTGCTGTGCACACCCCATTTTATAGAGGAGATCAAGCCACACAAAAGTTTACTTGCCCACAGTCACACAACTGGTAACCATGCCATGGTGTCTGATTCCAAAGATCATGCTCTGACCACTAAGCCTACCCACAGTTCAGAAAAGAAAGAGATTTGTGGACATGGAGAAATGAAATAAAACATACCATTGATTGAGTTCTTTCTGTGTGCTATGCGCTTTACTCAGCACTTTACACATGTCAACTTAATCAGTGGCAACACAAATATAGAGAGATGGGTATTCATATAGAACATATTGGCATGGAGAGATTGGGTAACATGCCCAAAAGTTCATGGTTAATGAATGATGAAACCAAAAACTAAGCCGGGGTTTGCCTGATTCCAAAACCCATGTTTCTGATCACTATACTGTATTGCTTCCTTCTGAGTGTGGCCTGGGCACATTTCATGGGAAGGCATGATTTAGGCTGAGCAGTAAATGTGGGTAGGAACTGATGAATTGGAGATAGGATTGAGGCAATGTCAGAGGTAGGGGGACCATCCGGGGAATGAGAGGTCTTTAAATCACCTCATGAGGTCTGAATGTATGGTTGAGGATGATTCTTAGAAGGGACATGTTAGTTGTACAAAATTCAGCATGGATTGAATTAACGAAAGTGTCAAATTTCTTCTGCATTATTCCCGAAAATAGAGCCTGGAAAAATGGATAGGATTTGTAAGGAAGTGGATTTGAGCCATTAACCAAGACTGTCCAAAATTGAAAGGTACTTAGGACGTCTTTCATAGAAATGACCACCTCCACCAGTCTGATTGTTCTAGTACCAGTTGACCTTCTGGGTCTTAGGTCAAGTATTCCAGTAGGTGGGTCTGAATAGACATTGACCAACCAACTACTTGGCTGGCCTTAGGTCACATGTCCATCTTTGAATGAGCCCACCAGAGGTGCCAGATAGCATCCTGAAACATCCAGTGTTACCTCTTAGTGGGTAAATGGGGCAGGTTCCCTGGAAGAAGGTAAGGGCAGTAGAGACACTACTCCCCTAACCAAGTTAGGTCGTGTAAGGCCAGGCTGAACAAATTTATTTGGCCTCACTGCTGTTTTGGCAATCATTTTACTTTCAGATATTTTTTCCTTTTAATCTGACCCTGACAATAAAGAAAGGACTGGTGATTTGGTTTCAGAACAGGATCTGCCAGCCTTAAGGAGATAATGAAATAAGAAATGAGTTTTCTTCCTAATGGTGATGCCAACATTGTTTCATTAAAAAAAAATAATAAAGTTACAGCCCAAATATTTATATATGCAGGGTTGGCGGAAGGGACTTTTTTTTCAAGCTCCTTTTTTGTCAATTAATAAATACTTTTGTCTTGAAAGATTGAAAGGTTTGCAACTGGGCTCAGTGGCTCGTGCCTATAATCTCAGCACTTTGGGAGGGTGAAGCAGGAAGAACCTTTGAGCCCAGCAGTTCGAGACCAGCCTGGGCAACATGGCAAGACTCCCATCTCTACTAAAAAAAAAAAAACTAAAAATTATCCAGGCATGGTGGCACATGTCTGGTGATCCCAGCTGCTTGGGAGGCTGAGGTGGGAGGATCACTTGAGTCTAGAAGGTCAAGGCTGCAGTGAACTGTGATCGCACCACTGCGCTCCAGTGTGGATGACAGAGTGAGACTCTGTCTCAGAAAAAAAAAAGAGAGAGAGAGAAAGGTTTGAGATAACGAAGTTAAGAAATACTGATTTGGCTACTTTTCATGGAGAATTCCATGTAAGGAGAGGCAGAGAGTCGCTGATTAGCTGGAGAGAAATAAGACTATTAACATATGCTGGGTTTCATTACAGCTCCAGATTTGAAACAAAAGACAGAGTTTGGGGCTTGGATGTTTTGCCAAGTGTTTGTCTTTTAGAAGCATTTTGATCATTTTTGTAACTGGGGCTCTGAGAAAGTGCTTTTTAAATATCTGCTCACTATTCCACTCTCTGCCACCCATACCCTCAAAGAGAAGAAATAATGTAAGATCTGTGTTTGCCTTCCAATATATAACTTCTCTCTAGGTATTGTGTTTCAGGGAAACAGAAAAGAAATTAATCATATTTGCTTTCCAGGTTCTTTGCTACAAACCATCTTAAGATAATACTTTACTTTTATCAGACACTGCTTCATGTGTCCCTCTCTCTCTCCCAAGGGAGGAAAACAGCTCATATTCATGTGGCCAAACTGGATCCTTGCTGGCTGGCTTTGTGGAGGTCACAGCTGTGTCAGCCCTTGGAAAAGAAAGCATTCACCATCCAAGTATTATCGCTTCAGACCTTCCCACCCTGACCCTGCCAACATTCTTTCCGAAGTTAGCACAGAATGTTCATTTCAGAAAGGCGAACAGCCAATTCGGAAAAGCCAAGTAGTCAGGAATTTCATGTCTGCCTCTGACAGAAAGAAAACATTACTAGTCCCTTGTTCTTCTACTTCTCTACAGTCTCTGTATTCTCTCTTTTCTTCCCTCTCATCCAGCATGGGTGCCTGCACTCGAGTAAAATTTGAGGATATTCACCATAAAATATAACGGTTAGCACAAAGTGTTGACTTGTATGATGTGGATTTCTTTGAAGCCTTTCAGAGCACATGCAGGCAAACACGAATCTTTCCTCTTTTGTTCCCTTTTGTGATTGTAGTTGGGCATTCAAATCAGCCTTGCCAGCCAGCGCACTTGTACCTCTGGCTTGTGTGATAATCTAGATTCAAATACAGCATTGATAACCGAACCTTACATTGACTTGGGATTCCCCACATAGTCAGCATGGCTTACGTGGCTCCTCTAAACATCTTCTGAAAATATCAGGCCGAAATCATGCCACCCAAACAAAATGGGTCACCCCAACAAAATGGCAGCACTCTCGGCCCTTGTGTGGGATGTCAGAGAAGCCAGACAACACATGGAGATGGCTGCAGGCAACATGTCCATGATCAGTCATAGAAGATGATTAGCTTTCGGTGCAGTTAACTAGGATTTGTTTTCTTCTAGAATAGTGCTTCTCAGATGATGGTTCTTTGCCCATAGGCAACTAACCCAACCCTTCCTTTCCAGGACTATTTGCATCTTGTTGGTTAAAATAAGGCATTGCCTATGATTTTCCCCAGCATGAATTTTACTTAAGTGCTTGTAGTGAGTGCTATCAAAAAGGCAATAAATAAGTGTGACTGTGTCTACTTTGTTTACCTTTAGATGTGTGATTTTTTTTTTTTTTCTTCTGACAGTAAACTGGAGTAGACAGAAAAGTTTTAATTGCATGACCCTTTTTTAACCAAAGGTATCTGTCAGAAAGAGTAGAGCAGCTCTTTGAAGTTAAGACTGTGTGCTTTGGAGGCGAACTGCCTGGGTTCCATGTATGACTTTGTTCTTCGGCCAAATTACTCAAGTACTCTACTATTTGGTGCCTCAGTTTTCTCATCTGTAACATGATGATAATAATCCCCACCTCATGGAGTCACAGTAAAGATTAAATGATGGAATATGTATAAAATGCTTAGACTAGGACCTGGCATCACAGGAAGTGCTTGGGAGATACTAGGCGTTTTTGTTGTTGTTGCGGTATTAAATGATGACCAAACCTCTAAAGCAGGACTGTCTGGTAGAAAGAAAACCACGTCATTTAAAATGTTGTAGTAATCATGTTAAAAAATGTAAAGAGAAACAAGTGAAATTAATTTTAATAGTATAGTTTATTTAATAGAATATGTATCCAAAATATGATCACTGCAAATGTAGGGCTAGCCATATTTCTAATGGAATAGCCACATGGCTACTGGCTGTCACAGCTGTAAGGTTTATCTCAAGGCCACGACAACTGGTGAGTCACTTAATTCAGAACGTTTCTATTTCAACACATGACGTGCAGTGCATGTGAATGAAGGAGGTTTTTAAATGATGGGGTGAAGATGCCATCATTAATCCAAGAGAGATGGCTTTCTTTGTTAATTATGGTTAAGTCCTTTTCTTTCTATAAAGCCCTTTCTATAATCACCTTCATGCAAAACTGACTGTAGCCACAGGAGGGGCATGGCCCTGCATTTAGCTAGCTGTTCTTAGATTTTATGTTTGCAGCTGTGGTTCAGTAAGTAAAATTTTGGATGCTCCAGGCTACTGGGAATTTAATATTCCATTATCATTGTCTTGTTTAATAATGAGACAACAAATAGGACCTGCCCTGTCATACCTCAAATGTATGGTGAAGCTAAAATAATCTCCATGACTTTAGGTGAGATTTTTCCAGTTCCTAGTTAGTATCCTTGGTTTCCTTACTGTGCTAATAATGGATTCTGGTTTTGTTTAATTGCCATTATATGCCCATCCCTTAAACTGTTGTGCATATCAGCCTTTTAATGGCTCATAATTATATTACTTTTGGTTTTCTCTCATTTCTCCCTTTCATCCACAGTGATGCCCTGCCCAAGTCTTGTGGACAGGAGCTCTTGCTACACACGAATGGCATGAATAGATTTCAACTTGCCTTTGATTCAAACCGACAGATTAAAAACTAATTATTCTCTGTAATACTTTTATAATAAAAACTAAGTTGAAATGATTTATA